TATACAGTGGAACCTCTATTTGTGATCGTGTCCACGTGCGAGTTTTTCCAAATACGAGCAGTCCATACGTGAGCAAAATTTCCAAAAGCGAGCAGACCTCAAGGCAGGTTCCTTGACACTGGTGAGGGACTCTTGCTCTTGATCTCGGGAACTGTATCTCATTTGTTTGTTGGACTATCTTATTGAAACTTGGGCAATGTATGATGGAAAGACGCTTCTTAACGTACACCAAAAATGAAAGAAATCTAAGCATAAATAATAGAGTTCACTTCTCAGCAATTAGCCACCCCATTGGTAATTTCGAATGGTTTTTATGGTTGTATTCTCGTTTTTTTGGTCTCATTTGATAGAATGGAGATATATTACAGAAACAGATATGATTTTAATTGCTTTCACGATGAAAAGTACCTTGAAGTAGAGCTCAACCTAGGAGAAATGGTCTATTGCTTGGCTGTTTCAGAGTAAACAAATGACATCACTGTCCATTCCAATATGCAGTTGTGGATGGGTTGACATTATTTATACAATTATTGCAATAAGGAATAACAGTAAATCTTACATTTTTTGTGTGAATAAAAATTACAAATTATTTATATAATAATAATAATAATAATAATAATAATAATAATAATAATAATAATAATAATAATAATACACCTACCATCCGACTTATGACCTGCTCCACATACATCCACTCGACTTACGACCATGCATTTGGCACCTGGGCTGGGCCAGCTGATGCATACCTCTGTACAATATTTGACGATACTTGTGGCGGCAACGCGCCATGCAGGCAGCATCAGTTTGAGTTACCCTGCCCTATCAGCAGCATCATACTGCATTAACTGTACTAACTGGACAGTAAATTTCACCATGACCCCTAGGTAGTAGGTTGGTAGACAGCAACCGCCCAGGGAGGTACTACCGTCCTGCCAAGTGAGTGTAAAACGGAAACCTGTAATTGTTTTACATGATGGTAGGATTGCTGGTGTCCATTTTTCTGTCTCATACACATGCAAGATTTCAGGTACGTCTTGCTACTTCTACTTACAATTAGGTCACACTACACATACATGTACAAGCATATATATACACACCCCTTTGGGTTTTCTTCTATTTTCTTTCTAGTTCTTGTTCTTGTTTATTTGCTCTTACCTCAAGGAGGCCTGGTCACAGACCGGGCCGCGGGGGCGTTGACCCCCGGAACTCTCTCCAGGTAAACTCCAGGTAAGATGAAGTCTGAATCTTGCACTGGAGATTGTGGCAAGAAAGGCTCTTACTCTCAAACTCTCTGTTTTCACTGTTGCACATAAACCTGTCTGTATCTGTCTGCCTGTATATCTGTGTCTGTCTGTATCTCTGTGTCTGTTTATCTGTCTTTCTGTCTACCTGTGTGTCTTTCTGTCTACCTGTGTGTTTGTCTTTCTGTCTACCTGTGTGTTTGTCTTTCTGTCTACCTGTGTATGTCTTTCTGTCTACCTGTGTGTCTTTCTGTCTACCTGTGTGTGTCTTTCTGTCTACCTGTGTGTCTTTCTATCTATCTGTGTGTTTGTCTTTCTGTCTACCTGTATGTCTTTCTGTCTACCTGTGTGTCTGTCTTTCTGTCTACCTGTGTATGTGTCTTTCTGTCTACCTGTGTGTCTGTCTTTCTGTCTACCTGTGTCTGTCTTTCTGTCTACCTGTGTCTGTCTTTCTCTCTGCTTGTCTGTCTCAGAGCTGCTCATTAAGAGTCTAATTGGTCTTGAAGACATCATATTAATAATGATAATAACACAATACGTAATAATCACTGAGGCGCATTAAATTTTAAATGTGTATAAAACGTTAATATAGACATTTTGCTTAATCCATCTATTTATTTATTTATTTATTTATTTATTAACAATTTGAGCATACATACAGAGGTACAAAAAAATACAGATAAGAGCAGCATGCCAAAGCCACTTATACTATGCATAGCATTTCGGGCTGGCTTAAAATTAACTAAGCAATGATGAAATCAGTGATAATACATTATTGTAAACAGATAACTATAAAGCACAAATGAGTATTACAAAGACAGGTCATATGGTTGCATGCATTGTTGTACATTCAGTCGTATGGAGTATTCTGTTAGGTAGTGTATTTAAAAAATAATAAAGTTAGATTGGGTTTTAGGTTTAACATTTATGTGATATAATTGTGAGAAACATTTAAGATATACAATTTATAAGGTTCAGTTATTCAGTATTTATTTGGTTTTGGGTGAGTAAGTGATCTTTGAGAAGAGACTTGAATTTATAAACAGGTAGTGTTTCTTTTATATTTACAGGTAATGAATTCCAGATTTTAGGGCCTTTTATGTGCATTGAGTTTTTGCATAGTGTGAGATGGACACGAGGAACATCAAAGAGTGATCTGTGCCTTGTGTTATGGTCATGTGTTCTGTTGAGGTTGGCAAGGAGATGTTTGAGGGGAGGGTTAATATCAGAGTTAAGTGTTCTATGTATGTAATAGGTGCAGTAATAAGTATGGATGTTTTGTATGGTGAGTAGGTTTAGTGTATTGAATATTGGTGGAGTGTGCTGCCTGTAGTGAGAATTTGTTATCATTCTAACTGCAGCCTTTTGTTGGGTAATTAGTGGTCTGAGATGGTTAATTGTTGTTGAGCCCCATGCACAAATTCCATAGGTGAGATAGGGGTAAATAAGAGAGTGATATAGGGCCAGGATTTTTTTTTTCAAAATTATATAACAAACATGCTATGTAACATATAAACATGTAAATTAACAAATATGAGATGTTTTTCTGGTTGGCTTGACATAGTGAACAAAAACCATTCGTGTCTGGGCTGGCAACAACAACAACAACAACGTTTGTTTACAAAACTTGCGAAACTTCTACCCTCTCATTCTCTCTCTCGTTTATTCATTTAATCTTGTTTACTCACCTCTCACTCTACATTAAGACTACAGATATTTTAAGGTAAGTAATGAGTGAACACGATTATTATATTATAGTTTAATAATATTATTATTAAACTATAATATAATAATCGTGTTCACTCATTACTTACCTTAAAATATCTGTAGTCTTAATGTAGAGTGAGAGGTGAGTAAACAAGATTAAATGAATAAACGAGAGAGAGAATGAGAGTGTAGAAGTTTCGCAAGTTTTGTAAACAAACGTTGTTGTTGTTGTTGTTGTTGCCAGCCCAGACACGAATGGTTTTTGTTCACTATGTCAAGCCAACCAGAAAAACATCTCATATTTGTTAATTTACATGTTTATATGTTACATAGCATGTTTGTTATATAATTTTGAAAAAAAAAATCATAGATGGATTAAGCAAAATGTCTATATTAACATTTTATACATATTTAATGCGCTTCAGTTATTATTATTAATAGTACATACGTATTATTGAAATAATAATAATAATAATAATAATAATAATAATATTATTATTATTATTTTAGGGGACTGGAGCACAGATCCACTGTATAACACTGTCTGGATTTTTTGGGTTATCCTAGGTAATGTATACTATGTATGATAGCTTTACTTGAGAGAGAGAGAGAGAGAGAGAGAGAGAGAGAGAGAGAGAGAGAGAGATACAGAGAGATACAGAGAGATACAGAGATACAGAGAGAAATACAGAGAGAGATACAGAGAGAGATACAGAGAGAGATACAGATACAGATACAGATACAGATACATTCAGTCAGCCAGCCAACCACCCGGCCACCCGGCCAGCCAGCCAGCCAGCCGGATACATATTACACATGTTCCAGAGTTGTTTCTCTTTACTTAGGGTATAGGTTATAGGACATTTTGGCAGGATGACACTACCAGTGGTATTCTTCCATTCCACTGTGTCAACAATACTTAAAGATAACAGTAACATATGATACTGTATGAGATGTAAAATTTACAATACAGTTCACTACCATGTATACATATTATACAGTACATAAATAATTAAAATATATCAACAGAAGTAAATTATGGTAAAAAGAATGAAATAATGATTGTACATTACATTACAGTACTATGTAGGTAGTTTATATAGGTAAGGTTTGACATTATGCCCTACCCAGTATGTCGGCAATTTTCAAAGGTTCAACTTACATCCATTTTGATTTACGACCGGTTGGTCAGAACCAAGCTTGGTTGTAAGTCGGATGGTACCTGTAATATGTATAATAATAATATGTATAATAATAATACGTATAATAATAGCATAATAATAATACATACATAATAATAATGTACTACATAGTATAATAATTATAATAATAGATGGCTTCAAAAGGCCGTCACTAGATGGCAGTGTTTACCACAACAAAGAGGGAGCAGTTGTGACTGCCTCCACCTGTTACATAATGACATATTTCATTCATTCTAGAGTATACATCATGTTTCTATGTTATTTATATTGTTTGTTATGTCATATTTGATGAACTGTGATATATAAATAAGCTGTATAGATGATATTAGCAAAATTATTCATGAAGTATTTTGCCCGGTCTCCAGACAAAACTCGTCCACCGCCGACACCACCCATACCACTACAGTTTTTAGTTTAATATGTTTATTATGCACCCCATACCCATCCTGTGGGCGGTAGTCAAAAGATTACAGAGGTACATAATTGGTCCAGGGACTGGACTCCAAAGTTTTGATAGCTGAGCAAGTTACAAAGGTAATGAACTAGATCTGGTCATAATCATGACCAAATTACAAAGGTAATGAGCTCCAGGTAGAGCTGGTCACACTCATGAATAATTGCAAAGGTAATGAATCATAAACACATTAATCATGAGAATTTACAAAGGTAATGAGCTCCAGGTAGAGCTGGTCAAAATCATGACAAGTTTCAAAGGTAATGAATGATAAACACGTTATCACATGATTACAATCATAGACAAATTACAGAGTAATGAGCAGTTAACAAACATAGCAGGGAATTCATCCATTGCCCCAACAACAGATGTTGCTAGGTGCCTGTCTCTCTCCTCGGCAGACAGCCATTGCAAACAGCAGCAAGTTGCCCCGGGATCTGCTGCTTGCACGAGCACCATCGACCCTCCCCAAGAGGTCCAAGAAGCCAGTGACTCCGTTAGCAGCCCGAGGGAGAGCTTCCCTAGGGACATGTCAGCGTCCTGGTGGACGCCAAGTTGATTGAAGATCCCAGGCCCTCGTGTGCACGGATGTTGAAGCTTGAGGAACTGAGTACACACTGCCTGTGGCACACCTGACAGCTGCCTCGCGGTTGAACTCCACGATGCTGTCCCTGTAGTGGAAGTTCCTGTAAGCCCGGCACGCCCTGCAGTGCCATCGCTGACATCGTGGGTTAGGGGAGAAGTACCCTCTACAGATGGGGTGGCGCTGGGAGTTGGGTGGGTGAGGCGGGGGAGACGGGCAGGGGTGAGGCGTTATGAGAGGGTCACTGTTTACTACACACGCCCTCCCCCCCAGTGGAGAGGGGGGGAGGCGCTGACTGGTCCTGACTCGACAACACCAACTCCTCTGAAACTGCACAACACTTCAACTATTTACGCTGAAACGATGCACTGGGATGTCCGTTCGCTGCTCTGGTATCTTCTCAAAGCATTCACACTGAGTTCTGTTAAGTAGGGACCTGGTCAGCCTCTTTGACCAGGAGCTATCCTTGAAAATCCCGCAGCTAGCCCGCTACACAACCTGCCGTGTCGGCCATGTTGAGCCCACTGCATACCACTACATGAATGACATATTTTATTCATTCTAGAGTATATATCATGTTTCTATGTTATTCATATTGTTTGTTATGTCATATCAGATGAACTGTGATAGATAAATAAGTCGTATAGATGATATTAGCGAAATTATTGAAGTACAGAATTCCATTGGAATGGATTAATTGCATTTCAGTTAATTTAAATGAGGAAAATTGACTGCAAACGAGCAAATCCAGTTGTGAGCAAGGTCATGGAACGGATTAAACTTGCAAGTAGAGGTTCCACTGTATTTAAAGAGTAGTAAGAGAGGTAAATGCGTAGGTATTGGCAAGAGATGTTTACCTGGATAGCGTTTCGGGGGTCAATGCATCCCCGGCTTGGTCTGAGACCAGGCCTCATGGTGGATCAGGGTCTGATCGACCAGGCTATTACTGCTGACTGCACCCAAGCTGACGTACAAACCACAGCCCGGTTGGTCAGGTACTGACTTTAGGTGCCTATCCAGTGCCTTCTTAAAGACAGCCAGGGATCTATTGGTAATCCCCCTTATGTATGCTGGGAGGCAGTTGAACAGTCTTGGGCCCCGGACAATTATTGTGTTGTCTCTCAGTGTACTCGTGGCACCCCTGCTTTTCATCGGGGGAATGTTGCAGCTCCTGCCAAGTATTTTGCTTTCATAGGGAGTAATTTTTGTGAGCAGGTTTGGTACCAATCATTCCAGGACGTTCCAAATGTATATTATAATTTATCTCTCTTGTCTGCGTTCTAGGGAATACAGATCAAGGACCTTCAACCGTTCCCAGTAATTTAGGTGCCTTATCATACTTATGTGTGCCGTGAAAGTGCTTTGTATACTCTCCAGGTTTGCAATGTCACCAGCCTTGAAGGGGTCCATTAGTGTACAGCAGTATTCCAGCCTAGGGAGCACAAGCAATTTGAAGAGAATCATCATGGGCTTGGCATCCCTAGTTTTGAAGGTTCTCATTATCCATCCTATCATTTTCCTAGCAGATGAGGTAGATACACTGTTGTGGTCTTTGAAGGCGAGATCCTCTGACATTATCACTCCCAGATCCTTCACATTACTTTTCCGCTCTATTGTATGGTTAGAATTTGTTGTATACCCTGATACATTTTTAATTTCCTCAGGTTTTCAATATCTGAGTACAGTGGACCTTCGCCTAACGAACACATCGCATAACATTAAATCCGCCTAACGAAGCGTTTGAGTGTAAAAATTTTGGCCCACATAATGATAAAAAACTCGCGCAATGTGATTCATCCGGGACGCGTCCCACGTGTGGCCTGAGCATGCCTCAGCTGCCCCGTGGGTGCCAGTGTTTACAAGCCAGCCAGTGCGGTCGCATCTACGAATACATTCGATACATTTCACATTATCTCAGTGTTTATAGTGCTTGTAACTGTAAAATAAGTCACCATGGGCCCCAAGAAAGCTTCTAGTGCCAACCCTGTGGTAAAAAGGTTCAGAATTAGTATGGAAATTAAGAAAGAGATAATTGCAAAGTACAAAAGTGGTGCGCATGTCTCAGAGCTGGCCAGGTTGTATACCAAACCCCAATCAACCATTGCTACTATTTTGGCCAACAAAACGGCAATCAAGGAAGCCGTTCTTGCAAAAGGTGCAAGTTTTTTTTCGAAACAGGGAACGCAAGTATTCGAAGATGTTGAGAAACTGTTATTGGTTTGGATAAACGAAAAACAGATAGCATCTCTCAAGCGATCATATGTGAAAAGGCAAGACAGTTGCATGTCGACTTAATTAAAAAATGCATGCAACTAGTGGTGATGTGAGTGAATTTAAGGCCAGCAAAGGTTGGTTTGAGAGATTTAAGAATCGTAGTGCCATACATAGTGTGATAAGGCATGGTGAGGCTGCCAGTTCGGACCAAAAAGCGGCTGAAAAATACATGCAGTAATTCAAGGAGTACATAGAGACTGAAGGATTGAAACCCCAACAAGTGTTTAACCCTTTCAGGGTCGACAGGCCCTCTCAGAAACTTGTTCTCAGGGTCGGCCAAATTTCAGAAAAAAAAAAAATTATTTTTTCTTATGAAAAGACAGATAATATTTTTCCAATCATAATGACACCAAAAGTATGAAATTTGATGGAAAACTTACAGAATTATGCTCTCGCGAAGTTAGCGGTCTCGATGATGTTTACACATCGGAGATTTTGCCCACTTTGAGCCCTATTTTCGGCCAATTCCAGTATACTTGTCGACAAAAATCATAACTATTTTGCTAGAACTCCATTTTTTCTATCGAATGAGTACAAGAAACCACCCATTTACCGATTTCAATTATCCAATACAGTGGTAAGAATTTAGCAATTTTGCAAATTTCACACAAATTTCAAAAGATGCCAATTTCCAAATAGGGTCCAGAATATACAAGAAGGACATTCCTGGCACTAAAATAACATTTTCTCTGTTCATTAGTCATGTCTCCATGCCCCTCTTACATTCTTTTGCTTTCCACTTTGAATTTTTATTCTCACAAAAAAATAGAAGAGCATTGGTGTAGAAATGGTATAAATAATATCAGCACACTTGTGAAAGAATACGTATTAGACTCACCAGTTGAAGTGTATTGGACGCATAGCATGATTTGTTTACTTTTGAACTTTGGTAAAAATCGAACATTTCTGCTACTTTGAGCTCAATTTCAAGGTGTTTTTCTTTGTAAAACCAGTCAAAATCATCTCAATTTCTGTAATATGTCTTCCATTCTATGAAATGAGACCAAGAAAACTAGAATACAACAATAAATACCATACGAAAATACAGTGCAAAATCCCTGTTTTAATCCAAAAACACGGTCAAAGTTTTTTTTTTCCCATTACGCACTGTGTGCTGCAGGATTTTTTAATACCACACACACTGACTGCATAGACCCATTCTTTCATAAGTAGGCCTACCAGCTTTCTCTCACTAGATTTGAGGGCACTAGAATTTAGGCGTACTAGTACGTCAAAAACCCTGGCTCATAAGCCGTACTAGTACAGCCGAAACCTTGAAAGGGTTAATTGTGACAAAACAGATCTGTTTTAAAGGAAAATGCCAAATAGGACCTACATTACTCAGGAGGAAAAGGCACTCCCAGGACATAAGCCTGTGAAAGACAGGCTTACTCTTTTGTTGTGTGGTAATGCTAGTGGTGATTGCAAAGTGAAGCCTTTATTGGCGTATCACTCTGAAACTCCCAGTGTGTTCAGGAAAAACAATGTCCTCAAATCTAATTTGTGTGTGATGTGGAGGGCAAACAGTAAGGTAAGGGTCACTAGGGACTTTTTCTGTGACTGGTTTCACCATGTGTTTGCCCCCACTGTGAAAAATTACCTCCTGGAAAATAAATTGGACCTCAAGTGCCTCTTGGTATTAGACAATGCTCCTGGTCATCCTTCAGACTTGGAAGAGCGAATTTCTGGGGACATGAGCTTCAACAAGGTCAAATTTTTGCCTCCTAATACCACTCCTCTCCTGCAGCCCATGGACCTGCAGGTCATTTCCAACTTCAAGAAACTGTACACAAAAGCTATGTTCAAAAGTGCTTTGAAGTGACCTCAGACACTCGATTGACCCTAAGAGAGTTTTAGAAAGATCACTTTAGTATCCTCAGTTGTGTAAACTTTATAGGTAAGGCTTGGGAGGGAGTGACTAAGAGGACCTTGAACTCTGGAGGAAATTGTGGCCAGAATGTGTAGAAGAGAGGGATTTTGAAGGGTTTGGGGCTAACCCTCAGGAGCCTATGCCAGTTGTGGAATCTATTGTGGCATTGGGGAAGTCCTTGGGGTTGGAGGTTAGTGGGGAAGATGTGCAAGAGTTGGTGGAGGAGGACGATGAAGAACTAACCACTGATGAGCTGCAAGAGCATCTGCAACAGCAAGAGGCCAGACCTGAGGAAACTGCTTCAGAGGAGGGGAGAGAGAAATTGAAGAAGTTGCCTTCTTCAAAGATTAAGGAAATGTGTGAAAAGTGGGTTGAAGTGCAAACCTTTATGAATGAAAATCACCCTGACACAGCTATTGCAAGCCGTGTTGGCAACCTGTACAATGACAAAGGTACAGAGCTCTAAGGGCAGATTTGTTGTGTGACAGAGGTCCCGTGACTCTCAAGCTGGTCCGAGTGGTATTAAAAGAAGAAGGGAAGCAACCCCGGAAAAGGACTTGCTACCTCAAGTCCTCATGGAAGGGGATTCTCCTTCCAAACAATAACAACTTCCACCATCTCCCCTCCTCCCATCCCATCAATCATCACCAGATCTTCAATATAGGTAAGTGTCATGTATTCTTTATTTAGTAGAGTAGTAATTGTGCATATCTTCTTCTGTTTGTGTGTAGGAAAATGTATATTTCATGTGGTAATTTTTTTTTTTCATACTTTGGGGTGTGGTTATTGTGTAGTATACAATGAGTGAATATATACCAAATAGTCTTTATATTGGTCTCACAGGCCATAAAAATTACTTGAAAAAGTAAAATATTAAAAAATAAAAGAAAAAGTAGAAAAAACAAAATAAACTATTACCGGGTGACCGGCAGTCGGCGATGTTGCCGTAAGTGGTTCAATTTCTGTCAATTTCATGCCTTCATATCTCTGTAAGTATTGATTGCAAAAAAAAAAAAAAATTGGCCTATAATACTCACAAAAAAAAAACTATAATTTCATAAGAAAAAATTTTTTTTTTTTTTCGAATATTTTTTGACCCTGGGTGGGAGTTAATTCAAATTCAAATTCAAATTCAAAGTTTATTCTCTATAAAGATTACAATGTTGAATTTACAGAATTTGGTTGTTGTGTGGTTTACATGTAGTTAAATAATGATTACAGAGTGTACCACTAGAACGCCTAGCATGGCTAGGCATTTCGGGCAGACTTAGTTTAATTCTTTATTTTAAAATATTACAAATTATGAGGTAAGTTGGTATTATGGCTAAGTGACTAAATAATAGTTTGTGAGTTAAGGATTGAGGGTCTCGGCCCTGAAAGGGTTAATGTCTTCTTCTCTACCGTAGGAACAAAACTAGCAAGTAAAATCCCAAGCTCAAACATTCAGCCAAAAGACTACTTTACTGGCAACTACCCAAATACTCTATTTTTAGCCCCAACAAACCCTACTGAAATCTCTCTTATCATCAAAACACTAAAGAACAAGACAGAAGACCTAAATAACTTACCACCACTCGGATATAAAAAAGCTCCTCATGTGCTGCCACCAATTATTGCAACTCTTTTTAATAAATCCATTGAATCTTCCACCTTCCCATCCATACTCAAGACAGCAAGAGTCACCCCAATCCTCAAAGGTGATCCAACTGAACTGAACAATTATAGGCCTATATGAAACCTGCCTCTACTATCTAAAATCTTCAAAAAATTAATTCACAAACAAGTCTACTCATACTTTGTATCCCACAACATACTCAACCTTTGTCAGTTTGGGTTCAGACCGAGAAAAAGTACTAATGATGCTATTATACATCTGCTTGAACTAATATATTCTGCACTATAGAAAAATGAATTTCCCCTGGGACTTTTCATAGACTTACAAAAAGCTTTTGTTACAGCTGACCATGACCCTTTACACCAAAACTCGAACATTACGGGGTCAGAGGACACTCTCTTGATTACCTAAAATCTTACCTTACCAACAGAACCCAGTATGTATACACAAATGGAGCCAGCTCCACTACACAACCTGTTCTTGTTGGGGTCCCACAGGGGAGTGTTCTTGGCCCACTTCTCTTTCTCATTTACATCAATGACCTACCAAATGCATCTAGTCTCCTTAAACCCATTTTATTTGCAGATGACACAACTTGTCTTCTCTCACCCAAACCCAACCATACTAACACTGTAAATGCTGAATTGCTAAAAATATATACTTGAATGATAACCAACAAACTTACTCTCAATACAGACAAAACCTACTTCATGCTTTTTGGAAACAGAGCTTCAAATGTACAGCTAAACGTATTGATAAATGGTTGGTGGCCTGGTGGTGGCTAAAGCTCCCGCTTCACACACGGAGGGCCCGGGTTCGATTCCCGGCGGGTGGAAACATTTCGACACGTTTCCTTACACCTGTTGTCCTGTTCACCTAGCAGCAAATAGGTACCTGGGTGTTAGTCGACTGGTGTGGGTCGCATCCTGGGGGACAAGATTAAGGACCCCAATGGAAATAAGTTAGACAGTCCTCGATGACGCACTGACTTTCTTGGGTTATCCTGGGTGGCTAACCCTCCGGGGTTAAAAATCCGAACGAAATCTTATCTTATCTTATCTTATCACCTGTTTCGAGACAGGCAGAAGGCAAATTTCTAGGTCTCCACCTTGACTGCAGTCTCAAATTTCAGACACACATACAGCAAACTTCCAAGAAAGTCTCCAAAACAGTAAGCATCCTTTCAAAGATATGGTACTATGAACCCCAATCAGCTCTTCTAGCTTTGTACCACTCTCTCATATACCCTTACCTCACCTATGGTATTTGTGCATGGGGCTCAACCACAGCAAATCACCTTAAGCCTTTAATAACCCAACAAAAAACTGCAGTGCAATTGATTACTAGTTCCTGCATTTGACAACACACTCCATCTCTTTTCAAGAGTCTTAACCTGCTAAATATACAAAACATCCACACTTATTATTGTGCCTAATACATACACAGAACACTATACTCTATGTATTGATAACTGTAACAGAACACACAACCATAATACGAGACACAGATCACTCTTCGATATCCCTCATGTTCATCTCTCCCTGTGCAAAAATGCTATGCACGTAAATGGCCCAAAGATCTGGAATTCATTGCCAGAACAAACTAAAGAACCCCTGTCTGCAAATCAGTTTAAGGCCCTAATAAGAAATCACCTCATCACCCAAAATTAACCAGACAAACTGTACCTAACCATTACCAGTTTCTCAGTGGCTGCTCATATTGTGCTGATCAATGCTCAACCACTTACTACTTCAAAATTACGATGTCTATATTTTATTGTTTTAAATAGTACTAGATTGTAATACAGTACATCACAATGTAAACTGTTCCATTGTAATACCAAATTTCATTGTTTTAAAGAGTACTCAACTGTAATACATCATACTGTAAATTGTTTTAAATTGTTACATTGTAATACTGTAATCTTTATTAACTAATTCAATAGTGTAGTAAGTCTCTACTAGACTTATCAAAGCCATGAAGCATTACCTGATAGCATATTCAATTCTCCTGTACTCACTGTAACTCGTCTAATGACCATATACACTACGTATCATCGCTTTCCTAATCTTAAGTTAGTCTTTAAGCTTGCTCAAAATGCTCTGCATACAAAGGAGCTTTTGGCATGTACTCCCAACTTTTCTATTCCTCTGTACAACCATGTAACTTGTCAATATAAAAATCTTAATCTTAATCTTCAGACATAGTTCCCATACCTGGGTACACAGCCATACACAAGTGCAAGCCTGATCAACTAGGAGAAGGCACTGCCATTTACTACTCCAATGAACTGGAATGTATGACATTTACTTGCACAAGGGACAACAATGATGAATACATAGAATTGATGAGGGGGAAAAGATGAGTGGTGCACATAGGAGTCTGTGGAGACAAAGAACTTTGTCCGTGGAAGCAAAGAGAGGAATGTATGAGAGTATAGTTATACCAACGCTATTATATGGGTGTGAAGCATTGTTGGTGAATGTTGCAACAAGGAGAAGGTTGGAGGCAGTGGAGATGTCCTGTCTGAGGGCAATGTTTTTTTTTTTATTATTATTATCACACTGGCCGATTCCCACCAAGGCAGGGTGGCCCGAAAAAGAAAAACTTTCACCATCATTCACTCCATCACTGTCTTGCCAGAAGGGTGCTTTACACTACAGTTTTTAAACTGCAACATTAACACCCCTCCTTCAGAGTGCAGGCACTGTACTTCCCATCTCCAGGACTCAAGTCCGGCCTGCCGGTTTCCCTGAACCCCTTCATAAATGTTACTTTGCTCACACTCCAACAGCACATCAAGTATTAAAAACCATTTGTCTCCATTCACTCCTATCAAACACACTCACGTGGAGGGCAATGTGTGGTGTGAATATAATGTAGAGAATTCATAGTTTGGAAATTAGGTGGAGGTGCAGGATTACCAAAACTATTTTTGAGAGGGCTGAGGAGGGGTTGTTGAGGTGGTTTGGACATGGAGGGAGGATGGAACAAAATGGAATGACTTCGAAAGTGTATAAATCTGTAGTGGGGGAAAGGCTGGGTAGGGGTCGGTCTAGGAAAGGTTGGAGGAAGGGAGGGTAAAGGAGGTTTTGTGTGCGAGGGGCTTGGACTTCCAGCAAGCATGAGTGAGCATGTTTGATAGGAGTGAATGGAGACAAATGGTTTTTAGGACTTGACGTGCTGTTGGAGTGTGAGCAAGGTAACATTTATGAAGGGATTCAGGGAAATCGGCAGGCCAGATTTGAGTCCTGGAGATGGAAAGTACAGTGTCTGCACTCTGAAGGAGGGGTGTTAATGTTGCAGTTTTATAACTGTAGTGTAAGCGCACCTCTGGTAAAACACTGATGGAGTGAATGATGATGAAAGTTTTTCTTTTTCGGGCCACTCTGCCTTGGTGGGAGACGGCTGATGTGTTAATAAAATAAAATAAAATAAAATAATATAGCATAGTATCAAATAATACTGATATAGTGAACTAGTAAAAGATCTTACCTGTGAGTGTTTTGGTTTACTGCTGAAAGGTGGCCAAACAGAATACTTCTCTTGTATCAAAGATAGACTTTCTCCTGGTTTCCTCCATAAGTTATTTCTTAACTTCACTTGATAGATTAAATATATGACAGCAGCCACAAGTATCATATTTATGATCCTTTGAAAGTGCTTCATTGTATCTGGTGAATTTATTTTTATATTACTATAGTGTTTTATGGCTGATCTTATTGCATATTAATAATTTTGTGTATTTAACAGGTGTTACCCAAAAAATAATGCAGTATTGTAACGCTAAGCTATTCTGCACAAAATAAAACATTAATATGGAAACAGATGAAATATATTTAGCATAAGATGGTCCTGAATATATAAAACCATAACTTTAAAGTTTTTAACATTTATTATTCTAAAATAATGAACTAAATATGACCGTTTCAGAAAGATTATTTTAAGGACAAATTTCCATGTTGTCCTGCCTAACCCTTAGCCAAGTGTCCACTTTATATTGTAATGACCACTGCAGTTAAAAAACTCCATGTTCTTCCTCAATGATAGTTTTGGAAAGAAGCTACATTAACAATGTCATTTTCTAGTATTAATAACCTGTACAATAGAAATATTAACCAAAAAGATGTCAAACATTATTTTACATAATTTGTGTGTAAAACTGCATTAAAAATATTGTAATGAAAAATATAACTAAAAAAAAAAAGACCAATTACTTTCACACAATTAGCAAGGATTTACTGACTTACCAATTACTAAAGCAACTTTATTTATTTCTTATTTATTTATTCTCTTCATTTAACAGCTATACCATAATACAGAATATTACAAATGGTTTAAAACATGCTGTTCAATCCTCAATATTAAAATATTTACAATGGGATTATCCATGTGTCACTTATTTTAAATATACTAGAAAAGAAATATGTATATATAAAAAATCATCTAAGATTCCCTCTCCAAAACTGCAAGAAAATTGTGAAATATAGTGTGGAATACAGTCCTCTATGTTTAAAAGTAATTAACAAGTCATGCTAAGCCTGAGAGCGAATAAAACATGTCTTCACCTATAGTCAAAACATCATCTTCCACTACAGAACATCAAGCAAGGTGACTCCTGACTGGTTTGACCTCCAAATTACTGGTAAGGTGTTTTTATCTACACCTTTCAAAGCACGAGGATTCTTAGAGCAGTAAATAACCATGGGCTTACACTTGAAATCACCTGATGCATTACTGCAAAGGAGTAAGGTGATGCAATCCTTTGCACTTTTCTCTTGCTGACTAAATTCTTGTTGGCATTTCCTTCCAAAAAAACACTTTTCTCATCAGCATTAACCCTTTCAGGGTCCGCAGGCCCTCTCCGAAACTTGTTCTCAGGATCGGAAATTTAAAAAAAAAAAAAAATTTATTTTTTTCTTATAAAATGATTGAGAATCTTTTCCCGATCATAATGACACCAAAAGTATGAAATTTGGTGGAAAACTTACGGAATTATGCTCTTGCGAAGTTAGCAGTCTCGACAATGTTTACGCATTGGCGATTTTGCCCACTTTGAGCCCTATTCTCGGCCAATTCCAATGTATCAGTCGACAAAAATCATAACTATTTCGCTAGAACTCCTTTTTTCTATTGAATGAGTACAAGAAACCACTCATTTACCAATTTCAACTATCCAATAAAGTGGTCCAAAATTGGCAATTCTGCCAATTTCACACAAATTTCAAAAGATGCCAATTTCCAAGGTCCAGAATAAACAAGACAGACATTCCTGGCACTAAAATAACATTTCCTCTGTTCATTAGTCAGGTCTCCAGGCCTCTGTTATATTTCTTTTGCTTTCCACTTCAAATTTTTATTCTCACAAAAAACAGAAGATGTACTGTTATGCAGACTACTGCATTAGTATAGAAATGGTATAAATAATATCAGCGCACTTGCAAATGAATATTAGACTCACCAGTTGACATGTATTTGACACGTGGCTTGATTTATTTACTTTTTAACTTTGGCAAAAATTGAACATTTCTGCTATTTTGAGCTCAATTTCAAGGTACTTTTCATTGTGAAACCAATAAAAATCATCTCCATTTCCATAATATGTCTTCCAATCTATAAAATGAGACCAGGAAAACTGGAATAGAACCATAAATAGCATAAGAAAATACACTGCAAAGTCACTGTTTTAAACCAAAAACACAGTCGGAGTTTTTTATTTCTCATTATGCACTGTGTGCTGCAGGATTTTTTTATAATGCGCACACTGACCACATAGACCCATTCTTTCGTATGTAGGCCTACCAGCTTTCTCTCGCTAGATTTGAAGGTGCTGAATGCAGGCGTACTAGTACAGCACCAACCCTGGTGTGCAAGCCGTACTAGTATGGCACCAACTCTGAAAGGGTTAAATACTTGATGTGGCTCATAGCCACCCTCACTAATAATTTCCTGCAATTCAGCAGGGAAATTACTTGCTGCTGTATGATCATCTGAAGTACTTTTGCCAGAAAACTTAATATTATGTAACTTATTATGCAACTTAAAGTTGTGGAACCAGCCTGTGCTAAACATACACTCTTTTTCAGGTCTTCCTTCCTTATCACACACTGATGTAAGGCCTTTTCCCTAATTAAGATGAAATTAAGTGGTGAATCTTTCTTTGTTTTATGTTTGATCCACTCAAGCAACAAGTTTTCAGTTTTATTTACTTGTTGTGATCTATGTGTCTTTTCATGAGATGTCATCCTGGGTTATTCATTACACAAGCTTGTATATTCACCTCATTTTTTTAATTGTGCGAACTGACACTTCATTAACCCTTTGGCTGTCGCAAGCCCCTTTCTGAAACCGTCATTCTGTCACAAAATTTTTGGAAAAAAAAAATATTTTTTCTTATGAAATGATAGAGAATCTTTTCCTGGTGGTAATGACACCAAAAGTATGAAATTTAGCCGAAAACTCACGGAATTACGCTCCCGCGAAGTTAGCAGTCTCGGCGACATACGCATTGGCAATTTTGCCGACTTTGAGCCCAGTTTTTGGCCAATTCCATTGTTCCAGTTGACCAAACTCATAGCTATTTCTTTAGAACTCCATTTTTTCTATCAGCTGAGTACAAGAAACTGCCCATTTACCGATTTGAACTGCCCAATAAAGTGGTCAGAAATTGGCAATTTGGCCAATTTCATGCAAATTAAAAAAGATGCCAATTTCAAAATAAGATCCAGAATAAATAATGTAGACATTCTTAGCACTAAAATATCATATCCTCTGTTCATTAGTCATGTCTCTAGGCCCCTCTTATACAGTGGTTCCTTGTTTATCGTCGTTAATCCATTCCTAGAAGTGCGACGAATGTCGAAATAGATGATTTTTTAATCAATTTTCCCCATAAAAAATAATGTAAATACAATTAATCCATTCCTGACACCCAGAAGTATTAAAACAAAAAAATTTTTTTACATAAAATATAGATGTAGTACATAAACAATACAATGGGACATGATGAATGAAACATTAACAGCATAACACTTACCTTTACTGGCAATTCTTCTTAGTGTATGGAAGACTGGAGGAGGAGAGAGATTGGATTAGTTAATGTTTGGAAGGGGAATCCCCTTCCATCAACACCTCAGGTACCAAGTCCTTTTCTGGGGTTACATACTTCTCTTCTCTGTTTCTTAATGCCACTAGAACCACCTTGAGAGTCACTGGAGTCCTGTCTCGCAAAAAAAGTGTCCAGAGAGCTCTGTTTCTGACGTCTCTTTAAAACTTCTCTAAAATGGGCCAAGACTCTGTCACTGTACAAGTTGCCGATATGGCTTGCATCATCCTTCTCAGGGTGATGTTTCTCCATAAATCTTTCTATCCTACCCCACATTTCAAAAATCCCCTTAATTTCTGAAGAAGGTACCTTCTTCCATCTGTCTTCCTCCTTCTCTGCAGCAAGATTCTGAGCTGCAATCTGTTGCTGTTCCTGCTGAAGCTCTTGCAGCTCCTCAGTGGTTAGCTCTTCGTTGTGGTCCTCCACCAACTCTTCCACTTCCTCCAAACTCACATCCAACCCCATGGAACTCCCCAATGCCACTTTACAACTGACATAGGCTCATCAGGGTCAGCCACAAACCCTTCAAAATCCCTCATGTGGACACAATCTGGCCACAATTTTCTCCAAGCAACAACAGCTTCCTTTATTTCCTTTTTCTTTGCCACAATGGAAGATATGGTTGTATGGGGTTAGTTATACATCCTGGCCAGTTCGGCCACATGTACACCACTTTCATATTGTTCAATGATGTTTTTCTTAAATTCAATCATATTTCTCACCTTCTTTACCAAAGGCTTGGCACTAGGAGCTTTCTTTGGAGCCATGGTAGCTTATTTAGCACTTGCAAGCACTAAAATGAATGGAATATTATGAAATATTTTGTATGAACAAGTGAGGGGACTGTCGCTCACTGGTAAACAATGGCACACTGGCTGGGAAGGGAGGCCGAGGCAGCTCAGAGCCGTGAGTATGCATCCAGGACGAATGACGATTAGCGAGTCAACCGACCATTTGCGAGCCAATGTTTGGACGAAAATAACGCAACGATTTCCGAAAAGGACGACTATCAAGTCCGACGATTATCGAGGGACCACTGTATTACTATTGCTTTCTATTTTGACTTTTTATTCATACAAAAAATACAAAATTTACTATTATGCAGACTATTGCATTATTCTAAAAATGGTATAAATAATATCAGTGCAATAGTGAAAGAATATTAGACTCTCCAGTTGACGTGTAATGGACGTGTGATGTGATTTGCTTACTCCTGAACATTGGTAAAAATCGAACATTTCTGCTACTTTGAGCTCAATTTCAAGGTCGTTTTCATCGTGAAACTAATCAGAATCATCTCTATTTCTGTAATATGTTTTCCATTTTATCACGTAAGACCATGAAAACGAGAATACAACAATAAATACTACTATACAAAAATACACCTCAAAGTTGGTGTTTTAATCCAAAAAAACGGTCAGTTTTTTTTTCTCATTATGCACTGTGTACTGCAAGATTTTTTTTATGTGGTGCACACTGACCACACAGACCCATTCTCTCACATGTGGGCCTACCAGCTCTCTCCTGCTTGATTTGAAGCTGCTAGAATTTACGCGTATAAATACTACATCCGAAATAGAAACAGTGGCGCGTAAGACGTATATATATGACCAAAACAGTAAAAGGGTTAAGGCCATAGGCCCTCACTATATCCACCACACATGAGCCACTCTTAATCTTGTCTAATACAGTGGACCCTCGACCAACGATGGCATCGTCTAATGTTAAATCCTAATAGCGATACATTTTAACGCAAAATTTTTGCCTCGACTAGCGCTACAAAAATCGACCAACACGATTCGTTCCATTCAAGACACGTCCACTTGTGGCCAGTGTTCACAAGCCAGCCAGCCACCGCAGTCCCATCAAAGCATACAATCGGAACATTTCATATTATCACAGCGTTTTTAGTGATTGCACCTGCAAAATAAGTCACCATGGGCCCCAAGAAAGCTTCTAGTGCCAACCCTACAGCAAAAAGGGTGAGAATTACTATGGATATGAAGAAAGAGATCATTGCTAAGTATGAAAGTGGAGTGCATGTCTCCGAGCTGGCCAGGTTGTACACAAAACCCCAATCAACCATCGCTACTATTGTGGCCAAGAAAACAGCAATCAAGGAAGCAGTTCTTGCCAAAAGTGCAACTATGTTTTCAAAACTGAGATCGCAAGTGATAGAAGATGTTGAGACTGTTATTGGTGTGGATAAACGAAAAACAGATAGCAGGAGATAGCATCTCTCAAGCGATCAAATGTGAAAAGGCTAGGAAGTTGCATGAGGATTTAATTAGAAAAATGCCTGCAACTAGTGGTGATGTGAGTGAATTTAAGGCCAGCAAAGGTTGGTTTGAGAGATTTAAGAATCGTAGTGGCATACATAGTGTGATAAGGCATGGTGAGGCTGCCAGTTCGGACCAAAAAGCAGCTGAAAAATATGTGCAGGAATTCAAGGAGTACATAGACAGTGAAGAATTGAAAACTGAACAAGTGTTTAATTGTGACACTGACAATGTTGTGAAACACTTTAGGAATGTCATAAAGGAACGGGAGGTACAGGCCTCTATGGACAGATATGTTGTGCGACAGAGGTCCAGTGACTCTCAAGCTGGTCCTAGTGGCATTAAAAGAAGGGACTTGACACTCCAAGTCCTAATGGAAGGGGATTCCCCTTCTAAACACTAACACCATCCACACTCTCCCCTCCTCCCATCCCATAAATCATCACCAGATCTTCAATAAAGGTAAGTGTCATGTAACTGTACATGTCTTCTTCAGTTTGTATGTATTAAAATTAATATTTCAGGTGGTAAAAATTTTTTTTTTCAATACTTTTGGATGTCTTGCACGGATTAATTTGATTTCCATTATTTCTTATAGGGAAAATTAACTCGACTAATGATAATTTTGATTAACGATGAGCTCTCAGGAACGGATTAATATCGTTGGTCGAGGGTCCACTGTATCTCGATTTTCTTAGTAACTCCTAGACTTAAACGCTTACACCTTTCCTTGCCATTTTCGGCAATACATGTATGCCTACTGGGTGCCATGATTGCTTGGCAGATACAAGATATGGCAATTAAAAGTTCTAAACTCAATCCACAAACATAATAATAAAAACAGCTAACTCCTAGCTGTATTGAAGAAGTATCCCACTGGCAATGCTCCAAATTTTTTCCCCTCCCACAAACTGAACCGTGTTAAGTTAATATTACGAAGTGTTGTATAAAATTGTGCCACAATATTTCAATAGTTCAATAACCAAAACGTGCCAAATAAAACCGAGTAATATAACGGTCTACTGTACTTAAGATTAGACATAGCTAAGGAGTGGGAAATTTTAATAATGTATTATTGCAAAAGAGAGTTAGCAAAGAATAAAGTAGTCCCCCCATATCCATGGAGGATACTTTCCAAGATATACTGTGGATACCCAAAACCATGAATAGTAGCAAACCCTATACAGTAGGGCCCCACTTACATGGCAGGTTGGGTTCCAGGCTACCACCGTAAAGTGGAACACCCTTTTTCTCCACTTACAAATGCATATAAATAGTAGTTAACAAGTTTACACTAACATATATAAGTTACCAATAGAACTAGGCATTAAAAAAGAATAAAAAAGTAAAATACACATGTAGTACACTCATTACTTACCTTAAAATATTTGTAGTCTTAATGTAGGGTGAGATGAGTAGTATTCATTTTAAGAACTCAGGTGTGGTAGGTATGGTAGACAGGTCAGGCCACCCCACCCACACATAATATACTATGACATTTAACCCTTTCAGGGTCCAGAGGTCAAATCTCAAAGGGCGCACCAGGGTCCAAGAATTAAAAAAAATAAAATTCTTACAGAATTAAAAATAATAATTTTCTGTAGGTAATAAAACAATTTTTTGTTTTCAATCAGTAGTTACCGAAATATAGAGGCGTGAAGTTGGCCCTCAATGACCTGATGGCGGCAACATCCACGACTTCTGTAAAGTTTCATTATTTTATTTTAGGTTTTTGATACTTTTTTCTTTTCTTTTCTAATATTTTTTTTTCTAGTAACTTTTGTGGCCTGTGAGACCAACATAACATATAATGTATAAATGTACACTCATTATATTCAACACAATAATTGCACTAATTTGTTTATCATTATATTGCTTACAAAACTTGTTTACAAGTTTATTGTAAACAAAATAATGATGAAAATATTTGTGTGGTTGTGTTGAGTACAACGGTACCATATAGTACCATATGGTATAATGGTACCATAGGGTGCAATGGTACCATATGGTACAATGTGTTTTAGGGTGCAATGGTACCATATGGTACAATGTACTATATGGCACAATGGTACCATATGGTACAATGGTACCAATTGGTGCAAGGGTACTAAATGGTGCAATGGTACCATATGGTACACAGATACACTGTACTATATGGTACTGTTTTATTCAACACAATAACCGCACTAATATTTTCATCATTACATGTATTTCGTTTACAATAATTGTTTACAACAAAAAATGCAAAAATGTTGTATGTATTCAAATTCAAATTCATTTATTTCTTTGCAAGTAATACATTGAGATTATATTTTTACAATAATGGGTTGCAGTGCAAAGAGAGCCTCTATTATGCCTAAGGCATTATGGGCTGACTTAATTTAATGGCTTACTGACTACTTATCACTAAAGAAATTATCATAGTTGTACAGTAGTTCTATTAATAATAAGTGAATCTAATTTATACAAACCAAAGGATATATTATATATTCGAAAGTGTTTTTTATGAAACATGATTCAAGAGTAGTTTTCAGTAGTTTACAGACTACAGTATGAGACTGCTACAGTTTGGTGAAGGGCAATACAGTGGACCCTCGCATACTGTTGGTATCACATAACGTTAAATCCGCATACCGATACATTTTATCGCTAAAATTTTGCCTCGCATACCGCTAAAAAACTCGCTCAACGCTATTCGTCCGAGACACATCTAATGCGCGGCCTGACCCAGCCTCACATGATCAGCCGGTGGCATTGTTTACCAGCCAGCCTCCGCGGTAACATCCAAGCATACAATCGGAACATTTCGTATTATTACAGCGTTTTTGGTGATTTCATCTCCAACATAAGTGACCATGGGCCCCAAGAAAGCTTCTAGTGTCAACCCTACAGGAATAAGGGTGAGAATTACTATAGAGATGAAGAAAGAGATCATTGCTAAGTATGAAAGTGGAGTACGTGTCTCCAATCTGGCCAGGTTGTATAGTAAACCCCAATCAACCTTCGCTACTATTGTATCCAAGAAAATGGCAATCAAGGAGGCTGTTCTTGCCAAAGGTGCAGCTGTGTTTTTGAAACAGAGATCGCAAGTGATAGAAGATGTTGAGAGACTCTTATTGGTGTGGATAAACAAAAAACAGATAGCAGGAGATAGCATCTCTCAAGCGATCGTAAGTGAAAAGGCTAGGAAGTTGCATAAGGATTTAATTAGAAAAATGCCTGCAACTAGTGATGATGTGAGTGAATTTAAGGCCAGCAAAGGTTGGTTTGAGAGATTTAAGAAGTGTAGTGGCATACATAGTGTGATAAGGCATGGTGAGGCTGCCAGTTCGGACCACAAAGCAGCTGAAAAATATGTGCATGAATTCAAGGAGTACATAGACAGTGAAGGACTGAAACCTGAACAAATGTTTAATTGTGACGAAACAGGCCTGTTTTGGAAGAAAATGCCAAGCAGGACCTACATTACTCAGGAGGAAAAGGATCTCACAGGACATAAGCCAATAAAAGACAAGTACTCTTT